AGCTTTTTTACAGGAATTTATGTTCCTTTGAAAAGCTTAAGTATAGGGTGAAATAGGAATTACCAGCCAATAATAGATAAATAATAAATATTACAGTTAGAACCTCATTATATTTAGAAGTTGATTATAAATACAACCTTACTATTTCTATTGAAACACTACATTAAAAAAAACAACAACAAGTAAATAAGTAAAGAAAACTAAAAAAAAAGAGGAATTAAATGGACGGATTTCTAATAGCAATCCTTCAGAAACAATACAAACAAGATAATAGGGACGGCATTTGCATCATCCCTACATAATAGCACAGGCACACAGTGTATTAGATTGTTAACAGACAAAAGTAGGATAAATTAAACTCAATTGTGATTAAATATTTATAAAGATTGCTATGTGTTAACTCTTGCCTGTGTTGTTATGTAGGAATGATGCAAATGCCATCCCAACTGTCTTGTTTCCAGCATTTTTGAATGGTTGATATTAGCCACCCTACATTTACTTCCTTTTTCGAAAAGCTTTTTCTTTACTTGTATATATTAAGTATCACATACTGATTAACAAGAACAACCTTTGAATATAATAGTCTAATATTCATTATTTTAAACTCTCTAAAAAGAAGATTTGTAGATAATTTATAATACGATTTACAATAATTCTAATAATATCTTTTTATACTCTAACCACAGGTTCTATGTCATTTGAATATAATCTTTCCTACCCTAGTATAATGTGTTGGAAAATCGACTGAATAAATGCATAATATGTCAGCTTTAGCAAATCAAAATTAAGGACTTTTCTTACCTGTTTAAGTATATTAATTTTCTAATCCTAGAGCAAAGATAATCAACATACTTATCCCATTTAAGAGTATTATTTATTATAAAACCTAAATATATATACTTTTCATCACTACACTTAAATTGGGAAAATTACAGTCTATTGTATTACAATGTACAGAATGTATACTTGTTTTTTATTACTCGGTTGTACAATTATATTACATGAAAAGTTGGCGTAGTTAATCCCTGAGATGCTTATTCAAAAATATTACCCCAAGTATTACTTTTAAAAACTAAAGAAGTAGCATCCTAAATGTAACTATATCTCAATTATTCTCACTGTTTATATTAATAAGGAAGACAGTGGGTTCAAATACAATATTATGCGTAACGCCATAACATTTAATTTTTGAATCATCAAGTGTTCTATTAATTTGTGTCCTTTAGTTTCTAAGGTAACTAATCAACGACTTTAATCCAACTCCACGATTTCCAATATATTCTAGTTTAACAATAATAATTTATGAGAAGTGGTATCAAAGGCCAAATTAAAAAAATATATATACCGATCATTTTAAGATAACTATTTAATCCTTCATAAATAGTATTAACTAATTTACTAATTGTTGGACGAGTACGTTTTTTAACTGAAATCAAATTTGATTAAAAGATAGAATATTGCAAGTTTGCAAATAATTAATCAATATTTTCAATACATTTATCAATTATTTTGAAAAACCAGTCATCAACAAAATTGGTCGATGAATATTCTTATACAATTTATTATCAGTTTGATCACTTGAAATGACTCTTGCTTTCTTGACTTACTTGAAGCTACTCCATTATAAAAGCACATTCTAATGGTTTCTATATAAGATGTCTATATATTTCCAATATATCTGAAGATATTAAGTAATTTATCAGAGCAGTATTGTTTTTAAAGGCACTTATAATGGCTTTGATTTCTAAATTGTAACAGATGAGAGTAAAAAAGGTTTTATTAATGTATTTATTTTTATTTACTTCATATGAATATATTTGATTCTGATCCAATAATTTACCAGCTAACTCTTAAATCGTTTGCCATTTATGAATAAGAATTACAAGGCATTAAAATCCGATTGATTGTGATATTATCACCAACTCCAGAGGCAGATTCTTGGTATTATTAAATTTATTAATAACATACCATAATTTTGCGGTGTCATTTTTACATAACTCTAATTTCAATTTATAGCACTCATCATTAGATATTATTAAAATATTTAACATATGTCTGTATACTTAAGATCTATATTAAATGGTTCTTTAATGTTTTTTTTTGTTTTTTTTTGCAAGTTGATCATTAATACGTATTGAATTTACTAATTCTATCGCAATTCATTTTAGTCGTTCGTTAACTTATCTTCGTTCTTTTTATTTTAATGCAGTCACTAATATGATAGGCCCGGCATGGCCAGGTGGTTAGGGCGATCGACTGACAATCAGAGGGTCGCGGGTTTGAATCCCCGTCACCCTTTCATCAGTGGGGGCGTTATAATGTGACGGTCAAGAGTTGGCGGTGGGTGGTGATGACTAGCTGCCTTCCCTCTAGTCTTACACTGCTAAATTAGGGACGGCTAGCGCAGATAACCCTCGTGTAGCTTTGCGCGAAATTCAAAAACAAACTAATATGATTTATATATACTGTGACAAAACGTTATTTAAATCAAAAGAGTTTGTTGTTAAGACTTTTATCCATGTGTTATTTGTAAGTTTATCTTTTAGTATCCCATAATCAATTATGTATAATCCAGATGACTTTACATACTGCTTTTCATTTACCAAAATTATTAGTAATTTGTAATGTTGTGGAATAATGACCAATAAAATATATTCTAATAACTGCTGATTGATTTAAAAATAAAAGAACAAGACCCAGAATTTCCAGTAGCCCTGGTGCATTCATTAATAAATTAAAAATAGTCAAATTCATGCATTAAATTTAAGTAATCATTAGCATCATCCTATTTTAAAATTTTCTTATCGCAAATTAAAATAAGGTTATCCGTATTAGTTGATAAAAAAAAAACAAATAATTACTTAAACTATTTAAGAATTTTATTACACATTTTTGATAATGATATATACATGTTTAGGAAAAATATAAATTTCTATATTGTAATTGTACAATAATTGCATACGCTTCAATTTCATTAATATTTACAAGTATCATATTATATATTTCCAGTACATAAACTGAAATACCATCACACTTATTGTATTTATTGATATTAGTGTGCATACAATAACCATATATATCAAATATGTAGTAGAATATTCTATCCAAGTTTCTGTAAGTACAATAGCTTCATACTGTATTTTCATTTTACTTGATAATATTATTTAGTGTAAAACAAATATAAGCCATTCTTGTACACGTACAAACCTAGTGTTTTAAACACATATTAAGCCATTCTTGTAATTGTACATATCAAGTGTTTTAAACACACATAAGCCATTCTTGTAATTGTACATATCTGGTGTTTTAAACACACATAAGCCATTCTTGTACATGTACAAATCTAGTGTTTTAAACACACATAAGCCATTTTTGTAATTGTACATATCTAGTGTTTTAAACACACATAAGCCATTCTTGTAATTGTACACATCTAGTGTTATAAACACACATAAGCCATTCTTGTACACGTACACATCTAGTGTTTTAAACACATAAGCCATTCTTGTACACGTACACATCTAGTGTTTAACACACATAAGCCATTCTTGTAAACGTACACATCTAGTGTTTAACACACATAGCCATTCTTGT